ATCTCAGCCTTGAAGAGAAGTTGCCAACAGTCCCACCAGGAATGCTCAGGTACCAATGGGAAAATGCAGTCAGATTTTAGAGTTCATAAAAAGGACAGGTATAATGTATTTTTCATAAATAATTGTAACGAATTGTAAATCGTCATTAAAAGTGGTTGTTTGACATTGTAGAACCGAGAGCATATTGGTGTTGTTAGCAGGCAACAACAAAAGTTTACACACACGGCTTGATCGAAGAGTTTTGCTTGTATAGCTCATGAGGAGGTATTATATATTATTGAAATAGTTTTTTGTATTCCATGTACATACTAACTCATAGTAATTATATTATGGTACATTTTAGGAAAATACATCCGGTTCTAAAGTTGGTCGAATCCAACTCTTCGACATGACACATACGAAGAAGGATGACACTCCTATGACTGTTGACGCTGCAGAAATTATGGTACGTTTTTTGGGTAGATGTTTTAAATTTACCTGGCTTTATTTATATTTGTACCATGACATTTTTATTTTAATTAATTATTCACTTTATTAGGAAAAATTGAGGGAGAAAAAGGCGGAGTATCATGTTACTTCTTCGAGTCAAGGTATTGTTAATGATGATGACATTGAAAACCAAGCTATTAATGACGTTTTGGGTCCTGAAAAATATGGTCGGGTGCGCTGTCAAGGATCATTCGTTACTCCCACCAAATATTTTGGATTCAGTTCATCACAGTACATGTTATCACAGTCTCGATCTTCCCACCAAGAAGTTAGTCGTTTAAAAGAAAAGTTGGCTGAGATGGATCAACAAATGGCTAACTTGAAAGCGGAAAATGAAGCAAATGAATCAGAGAGAGCAGCAGGAGAAGCAGGCAGATCAGCAGCAGAAGCAGAGAAAGAAGCAACGGCAGCACAGAGAGAAGCAGCGGCAGCACAGAGAGAAGCAACATATCAGCAGAGATGTGAAGAATTTGAAAAACGACTCAATGATATGATGTTGATGATTCAGAAAACGTAACCTCAGAATCCACCATCGTAGTCTCATTTATGTTATGAGCATTCTACTGAACCTTGTTTAATTGAACTTATATTACGTTAATGAAAACTTTTATTTATTATATTGGATTTGATGTTGTTTGTTATGGATATAGAGTTTGATGTTATTATTGTTTTGTTTGTTGGATAATGGAACATGTTGAAAAAATAGTTTTGGGGTAATCAAGCATAATTTTTAGGATTGTTAAATTATGTGTTATTTAGCGGCGTTTGTAACAATAAACGCCGCAATATACCATACATTTAGAGGCATATTTATCCTATAAACGCCGCTATATACAAACCTTTACCGACATTTTTAGCAAAAACGCCGCAAAACATCAATACCTATTGCGGCGTTTGTGAGAAAAACGCCACAAAACATCAATACCTATTGCGGCGTTTTTATGACAAACGCTACTAAATATCAACACCTATTGCGGCGTTTGTCACACAAATGCCGCTAAATATCAATACCTATTGCGGCATTTTTTGTTAAAAAACACCGCGAACTTTAGCGATGTTATTTTCAACGACGGTTTTCGCGACGTTTGTCTTAATGCCGCATGTGTTTTTAGCGGCGCTTATAAACGCCGCTAAAGGTAAAAAACGCCACAAAAAGCCTGTTTTGCTGTAGTGGTTGTTATAGGAATTTGAAATATAAATTATATGACATTAATGTATCAATTATACGAAAAGGAGTACATAATGTTGTAATAATTATAGAAATTAGGGTAATGAAATTATATGAATAAGTGAAAGAGCAAAATAAGTTAAGCGACATTGACCTAAACTATATTATGAATTAGTGGTATAAGAATATGATATAAAATATGCAATAAAAATCTGTGTTAAATGATAAATATGAACTTATTAGAACAAAAGATAAGATATGTGATTATGAGTATTGAATACGTATCAATGTGATATGACCTATAAGATCATATAAATATTATATGACTATGTGATTATATGAAAAAGCATACAATTATATGTGATAAGCTCTGTGATATGTGAATCATATGAAAATGTTCTACGCGTAAGTGAACCATGTGTCTATATGTATATGTGAAAGAACTATGAGACTATGTGTATATGTGAATGTATGATAACATAAATATTAATGCCCATGTTGTGTGACATGAGAGCTAGAGGTATAGTTGGCATGCCAAGAGTCAAGGGTCTACGCGGTCCTTTGGGACATATATGTTTTCTTTGGAATATGTGTGGTCTTTTGAGACACATACTTGATCCTTGGCATATGTATATGATTCTTAAGGAATTTTCTACGTAGTCCTTAGGGACAATCTTATATGGCACTACGATGCAATTCTAAGCGGTACTACGGTGCAATTCTACGTGGCACTTCGGTGCATTTATACGAGTTGTGGTGACAGTATTAGTGAACAACCTCTATAGACTCACATATCTATAGTTCTCACATGTGTACATTGGCTAATAAAGGGATAACTCAACGTATGTAATATATATATGTATATATGATGTGTAATATGAATTGTATGATATGATATATGTGTGTTATGGGTGATTGCATCTGTTACATGATATACATGAATGTATGTTAATGAATATAAATGACTTATAGGATGATATAAGAATCTGTTATGAGATATAGAATATGAATGTAAGAGACTATAGAAGTAAATAGACAAGAGATATAAAGGATAATAATATAAGAGTGTGATAAATACGTAAATGATGACATGTGTATATAAGTAAATGTTTTATAAAAGAATATATGAGATGATATGAAGTGTATATAAATATATATGTGTGTGTATTATGCTTGTATATAATATGTTAGTAGAAATGGTTCATGCATGGTCACGCATTAGAGTTCTATTATATGTTTTATGCCTCACTAAGTCATCGAATTAGCGTGTGAGTTTTTCACATGCAGGTTCAGAAAGTGAATATAGAAGCTGAGAGGAGCAAGATAAGTCAGCATCTTCCTTACAAAGTTCAGATCAGAAAAGAAATGTTTGATATGTATTTTATTCTTTTAGATGTAGTTGGCATATAATATAAACGATTTGAATTGTATATGCTCTGATAAGTGTGAAAACTTTTATTTTGAAATAATATGAAGTTTTCTTTAACGGAGATTTTTCATTATTTTGAACAAGTAAAGATTTAAAAGTTGATGTGACACCTCGAACTCAGATCCGGGTTGGGGGTGTTACAGTTTTTACCCTATATTATTTAGGTGTTTTCCACATAAAATTTGTATCTTCTTTGTCTTCATTTTTATTTTCTCAAATTATCAGTTGCGATTTTGCTTTATCCAATAGCAGTATTCCGCAACATATACTACAGCGAAATAAATATATTTTTCTTTTTTCCACTAATATTTTAAATGTAACGATTTGTTAACAGTCGTTATTCTAGTCACTAAAGGTTGGTTTAGTAGTTTGGTTTGCTTACTTGGCACCGTTTTGGTCACCTAAGAACACGGTTGACCGACCATTTGATTCTCATTTAAAGAACAGAAATCCCTAATTTAAAAACTCTAATTTAGAAAGTGTAGAAAGATTGGAGAAGAAAAAGAATTGTAGAGGTGTTGGAGTTTACTGAGTAAGGATCACAAATCAAGTAAGAATCTTGAAATAAGGGGTAATGGCTGACATCTAAACCAGTTGTTTACTTGGTATCGGGATACAAATAGGGATTGGATTCACCTCGAACCCACTATCAAGTGCTGGTTGCGTGGATGTCGATCATATTTCTCAATTTAAGTAGGGGTAAAATGTAATAAGTTAAACTATAAAGCTTTTGATACCTGGGAAAGTAGGGTTTGTACAACTAATCCGAAAAGGCTGCGTTTTGGCTGTTCTTGGAGCTATCTACCAGTATTACTTGGAAAAACATTTGCTATTAGCGTAAAAGCGTACATTAGATGCCATGCTAAGTATTTTAAAAAAGTAAAAGAAACCATGACAAAACGAACTAGAGAGTATTTCCATATAGAAATGCAAGATGGGCGTAAAGCTGCTTCAACGACTATTTTCAGGCAATGCAAGGTGGATAAGAACAACAGAAAAATTAGTTTAAAACATATCCTCTGTATTAATCCATTCAGTATGTAAATGCACTTGTCTCGTATCCTTGTTCTACAAAAGCTCTGAATTATATATATGAAAATAAAACAATACTTTATCCTAATACATAAATGCGACTTCGAAGAACAAGACACCTATTTATGGCACGCAAATGTAGTTAGTCCAAAGGAGCTGAAAATTACATGAAATAGACATGAAAGCTGGACAGCGTTATACATACATTCAAGAGATAAATGCTCCCTGTACGCTTACCTTGCATATGAAACGGATATTCTGATGATTCCCTGGCTTTTATTTCGTCTTATTTCTTCTGTTGTTGACCTAATGGTCGTGAGATGCATGGAGGCATTATCTGCTTATCATCATCTTCTTCGTGCAGGATTTATGCTCCCTGCATGTATCAGAAGCTATCTACTGTGAGGTACCTTGAACAATACACATTCCTACTTGGGCAATTACAGACAACAATCGCACGAAGCCCAGTTGGTTTCCACAAGGCACAACTGCAGTGTTGTTAAACAATATCGACAACATTAATCTTGGAGTTATCATTAACTTCAAATGAGGTGCCTTTGCAAATTCTTCGTATGACGACATTAATTTCATGATTTTACATCTTATTACTTCTATTTTTTGCATCACCTTTATCTTAAAAAAAAATACACTAAAAAATAATCCTTCTCCTGTTATGGAGCATCAAAAAGAATCTAACCTTTGTAATATTAGTTATATGCAGGATTATCATGAGTGCTAATCTTGCTCCCAACAATGTCATCTCAAGTAATAGTATGACGTACAAAGTGATATCATATATCAATATGAGTAAGAGTACAAAAAAAAAAGATCAAGAAGTGCTGATGTGGTATGGTAGGCTCCCGATGTTCCTCGTGTTAGTCTTCTACTTCTAGACTTACGTGACCGGAGAAGGTCCTGTCGAGAACCTTGCGAAGCACCTCAATGATCATTTTGGCAACAAATTGCTCACTGTCATTGCTGGAACAGCTGAAAGAACACCCACCCTCTGATTTTATTGTCTTTGTTCCCAAGTTTCTCCAGTAACTGTGTTGTTTTTTCTGCGTTTATTTTTGCATCAAACTTATAGGAAGATTCTCAATCATGGTTGAGAATGCTCATCAACTCTCATATTGACAGACAAGATTTATAGTAGTATCTTTTAAAAGTGAAAGGTTGGTAAAGGGGATTTAGTATGGTAAAACAATGCAAACTCAGTTGTCCAAATATTACATATCAGATTTATGTGATTGTGATAACGACAATTAACGGTAGAGTGATTGATTTATTATAAATCGATAACATTAATGATTAAATCATTAATTTCTAAACATCAATGAGAAGGAGAGAAAATTACTCATACTTCAATGACTATTTGCGTAGTTTACCCGAGAAATTATATGGGCAGACAGTGTTCTCGGCACGTGGGAAAATTGACACATGGACATTCTTTGAACCAATGAATCAGCATTTACGAGGGTCCCATCTTAATCTTTTCAATTTGAAGGTTAAATTATATGTTTAGTACTTAAACTATCAGTTTTTATCTGTTTTAATACCTAAACTTTTAATATTTTTCGAAACCACATATAACGTTAAGGTTTTAACAGTGTACTAAAATAAAACAAAAACTAAATGTTACATATGATTTTAAAAAAAATTAAACTTTAAATACTAAATAAGTATTTTTATCCTTTTAAATTTTTGGCCCACTTCGATTTTCGAAGATCCCAATGCTCATATCAACACGTGAATGGTAGAAATAATTTTAGATGAAGTGAAATGTTGAGTTGATTTTTAACTCAAATAATCCAATTAATTTAATTTTGGGTAAAGCACAAAAATGGTACCCAAACTATAGAGTAGTTTTTTGTTAAGTCCCTTAACTATTGAAAGTAACATAATAGTCAATCGATTATTCATATATTTCAAACTCGTCATTTTCTATTTAAAAAATTGAAAGTTGTATGAGTTGGACTGATTATTGAAATATGATAAAATTTATCTTAGAATTGTTGGAGTTGTATCTTGTGGATCTAGTATGTTTATATTATGTTGTTAAGTCAATGCTTAAATAATTATATTGTCGAGACAATGCTTGAAGCAGTGGCGGATGCACTAAGCCCCCATAGGGGCCAAGTGCATCCCATTATTTTGGAAAAGTGGTTAAATTTAGCTTACTGTGTTAAGGAAAAAAGAAAAAAAATTATAATTTTTGCATACCCATTATTTTTAAGAAAATAAAATTAAAATTTTGGACCTCCATTCTTAAATTTATGGATCTGCCATTGACTTGAAGACAATGATTTTACCAGTATATATCATTTTGTTACTTTTAATAGTTTGGTACTTAATAAAGTAACACCCTATAGTCGGGAGATTATTTATAACTTTAAATGGTCGGAAAAATCGGCAAAACAACGTCTTAAAATCAGGGGACCATTTATATATTTTACCCTTTAAATTTTCATATCATTTGAATTTGACTAAGTTTTAGTTTTATATTGTTTGAAGTTTAGATTAATTTTGAGAATAAATTACCTTGACCCGAGAAATATAATATTTAAATTATCTTTAATTCAATTTTATTTTTATTTTTATTATTATTAATTCGGATATAATAAATTGAAACTTTTTTTATATGTCAATAATTCAAACCAGGCCTCACCCGTTTCTTCGGTTTCTTTAATTAGTAGAGGGGCCTCTTGGCTATTTGGGATCACCAACTTCCACGCTTACGCTTTGAGAATATATCAAAGTATATTAAATCACGCTAATTAATTATTTAAAAACAACTATCAAAATATATAAATTAATAATTAAAAATAAAATCATTTAAGAAATATTAAAATTAAACTAAACAATTTAAAGGATGATAGATTGAAGATAAATAAGTGAGTTAATAGAAAATTTTAATAAAAAAAAATATAGCATTGAGCAAAGAGAGGGGAGGGAACGGGACATTATACAGATAGCAGATCCACTCGTGTGAGTAGTCAACTCAGTGATCCACTCTTTTGCCAACTATGACCTATATCTAATATGTCTGCCCCTTCTCTCTGTGTTTTCATTATTTGGGTAAAAGGGGTCCCCTTCGCCCCCCCCCCCCCCTAATTTTCATCTTCTGTTTTTCAGTAGACTGGAAAAATCCCACATGCATGCATATCATCAATCATCATCAGCTTTTGTTATTGATTTATATGGTTCCATCCACATACACATGCTTTAAATTCTTGAGCAAAGTGGAAAATATGAAAGAAATCAAACCCCATCACCCCGTGGACCCCCCTTTGCTTATACCAAACATGTATGAAGCCATACCTTTCACGTGTGTCTAATATTTCATATATGTTCATGCATTGCATTTGCATACCTGCCACTGCCTTGTATTTAAGTACTTCACTTGCACTAGGTTTTCAAGTTTCTATTATAGAGTATATTATATTGCAGTAATGTTTGATTAATTCGAATAGAAAATAAGATTGACATTTCGTTAAATTGATATGACCCGACGATTATTAAAATGTAAGATGACATGAACCTAACTTTTTTAAAGCAGTAGTTTACAAGATATATAGTTACTTATGAGAATAAAATTATGGGATTATTTGCCCTACTACGAGCATGACAGATGATTATTCAAGGCAGGAAACACAGCTCCCCGGTTCAGGCATGGCTTGCCAAGCCGAAGCCGCGATGAGAGGGCGGCTGTGCCAACCCAGACTCAAACACCCGTCATTTTCTTGGACCGAATACCCTTCCGCCGAGAACAAAGTCAGTAACATGCTAGCTTGTTTAAACGCATTGGACCCCAAAGGTAACGACATAAACCCAGCTCCACTTAGCCGTCTCCTCCACTTTGCCAGTGGCTCGTGTCTTTCCACTCGAGCCGACCCTTCACAGCTCACCACATTGCGTATTTCCTTCTGAATGTATATCTCCGCTAAAGCTTTCTCCGGCTGCACCCTGCAAGCTTCTAAAGAATCGAACATCCTCGAATAATAATAAAGAGCTTCCGTGAACCGGTCCAGAAAATCCAGCTGGTTGTGGTTCGCTTCTTGTTCAACGACGGTCAAAATTTTCGGGTTTAAGTCACGGATCCAGTTTAAAACCGTTTCTATAGGAGAATTCAGGGTCGGGTCGGATATGAGTAAGCAGTGAAGCTGCATGATGGAGTTAACAGCCACCGCTTCTTTTGGATTCACCTGAAGCATCCACGGCTTAACGTCTTCGAGCCTGGAAGCCGCGACTCCACGGAAGGCGAAGCGGACGTTGACGGAACGAGCCAACACAGCGAGTCGTGAACCGATTTCGCGAAGCGAGTCACGGCCATCTGGTGACGGCGATCCAATGCCGGTCAAACGGAGTAAAGGAGGTCCACCGGGACGTAAAGCGAGTGCTTGTATCAAAGCTGGCCATTGTAAGCCGTGCATCAAATTGACGTCCACCACGTGTACACAATCGTGGCCGTCGAAAGCTTCGAGAATAGCCTGATTAGCCGTGAAATGAGCGAATTTCAAGTACGGACAAGCTTCGTAGAAATGGTGATACAAAATCTCGTTCTCAAAAGCGGAGCCACAACCGTCGACGGAACCGCCGCCAATTCCTAGGAAAATACGGCGGCTTAAAGCGTCGATAAAATGTCCGGCAACTTTACGGATACCGCAAACGGTGTTGACACGAGCCAGTAACCCTTGCATGTCGTCGATCAATGAAGTAGCCGATGAGAAATCACCACGTTGGACGCACTCCGCACAAGCCATCAACTTGTGGACCAGCCTTATATCGGAATCTTCTTCCATGGCCGTTACAACCGTCAACTGACGATCCAAACTCTGTTGCTCGTAAGTAATATTCTGCTGCACTCGCGGCTCATGAAGTTCTGCGGTGGTCCACGCGTTGTCTACGGGAGCCAAGATGAATTCAAAGCAGCAAGTAGGAAGCTGAGTGAACTCGGATAGGAGCGAGTCGACCCAGGAGGCCAGATCAGAAGGGTTATAGAGGATAGCGTCGGAAGCGAGTTGAAAGAAATCTGCGGGAGAACTGCCCATAGCGGTTTCGAGTCTTTCAAGTCGCTGAGCTACTTGTGGTAGGTCCGACGACCGGATTGTGTAGCCAGCACCGGCGAGATGTCTAACGATATCTTGCTGCAGCGAAGACGGTGGTGGTTTCGAGGATGATAACGAGGAAGAGCTTCCACTGCTACTTCCCGCTGCTGACGATGCAGAGTCGTGGAGCGACATGATTCAAATTAAATTTATTTTCTTCGTTTTTCTTCCTTTTTGTACTAAAAGAAATTAAAGTTGGAAAAGCTATGAAAACCAGAAGTTTTAATGAAATGGGAAGAGCTTTAGATTTGAGAGAAGACGGAAAGTGAGAGAGCACTACCTCTCTTTCTAGACAACCATTTTTGTACGGACCTTTTTATTTTTATTTTTAGATAAATCCGAAGGAGAAAATTAGTTTCAATATTTTATCTATAATACTCGTTTAAAATATATTGAAAGTATTTTGTATTATCGGAAGAAATGAGCCTACTTAGAGAAATTCAAGAGTAGTAATCGTAACCAGTCTAATTTAGGAGGAACAAATAATAATTTTACTAGAAAATTTAATTTTTTATTAGATTTAATTCGGAAATTCAATTGTAATTTCATAAACTTAACTCAACTCGAAAAAAAATCTCAAGTTCAAATCGAATTATAAAATATAACTCGAATATTTCAAAATTTTTATTAATTAATAGATTAGTTTTTAAGTTTGAGTTGAGTCCATCGACTCTGTATAATATATGTATATCATATTTAAAAAAATAGATGAAGAAATATATATGTATTGAATATGATTATAAAAAAACATTTAAACTATAATCAAATAATATCATAATATTATAAATATTTCAAATCAAGTTCGAGTTATAAAATATGACTCGTCAACTCAAATAACTCTACATTTTTTTAATTCGACTCGACTCAATTGGACTCTCATCCCTAGCTTGATTAGCTTTATGCCTAATCCAATCTAACTTAAAAAGTATATTTATTTAATTTGATTTGATTTTTAATAAGATTTAAAATTCGACTCAAGTATTAAGGCTAAACTTGTATCAAACCTAACATAAATATAAAAATTTATTTTTATTCAATAAAATAGAGACATAATTGAATTATTTATTTAGAGAGAAGTATTATATTAATTGTCATTACATATATAGAATAAAATTTTATTATTATTATTTTCAGTGAGATTTTTTACTCTAAACCTGAATATAACATGAATACTCCTAACCATTTACAAAATTCAACCCTATTTATACTAGATTTTCTTTTAAAAGTTATCTTATTGAATTATGATAACAAGTTGTTTTTTTTAAAGAGGGTACTTTATATTATAAACAACGGCAAAGTACATCACCTTAAGACCCTCATTAAAAAACATCTCTAGTCCTAAATGGAGAGAAAAGAGTGAACCAAGAGGTGAAAGAGAACATATACAAGGATACCACAGTGCAACAAACAATACATACCCCAAACATAACAAAACACCACAAACACCCATACATACCCCAAACCACAACAAAACTCACACAAACACCCATATGCCCCAAACCACAACAAAAACTCACACTAACACCCAAAGACAAAGAAAGACATGCTCCACTACCCCCATAACGCATTGTCTGGGAATCAACATCTAAACGCTCCATGCTATCATCAGCACCCTTTTTCGACAGCCCAACAATGGGCACACATGACACAACAAGCACTTTGTCTTCTAGAGAATCACACAAATCCACCTCCAAAGCAAAAAACGAGCCACTTCTCTGACAACGAAAACATGCGCAGCTACCCCATAACGCACTATCTGGGGAACTAAATCGTGAGCCCATAACTCAACAAAACGAAGACGTTCACATGCTTCCTCCGCTACTGAACACCATTGTCCACCACCAACAATCACACACACAGGAACGGACAGTGGACATCATCTAAAAGCAACACCAAAAGAACAAAAAGTTATCCAAAGCAAACACAAGACGACTACAGCAACGACACACACTCAAACTCGGTAGATCACCAAAGCACAAGAGCAAGACCACCCACCACTGGGCAACCACGCCCACCAAACAGGAAATAGAGATATGAATTAATCCACCAGAAAATAGCTTGTTGCCAAAAAACTAAACCACTGCAAACAGACTAACACTAAAATAACCTACTAAAAACCAACACTAAAAACTATTTCTAAAAACTACTCCAGCTCCTCTAAACACCACGACAAACATCCTCAAGACCATAACCTAAAGCCTCACAACCCCTCACAAACAACACCACACTCGTACTCGACTCCTCTTCTCTGAAATAACACACTCAGAACCTCACCTTTGTAACCCACTTTCTGCCATACACCTTACCAAAGAAGAGTATAAAAGGAATAACCACACAAACGAAACAGAAACTGACGTAGACCTGAAACAATCCCCCACATGTTGTAATATATCAAGCGAGCAAAAGGCAGTTTCACTATGACATTTACACAAACAGCTTGCATGCAAAAAACTCTAACGTGCTCTGACTCCAGGAGCTGACTAGTACCCACGCAGATACTCAAAACTATGAAACTATTACATGCAATAACCATATCTGAAGCACGAACCAGCAATCAAAATAGAAACAGGGATAACATCACAGCTGGTAGAAAAAGAAGCGATCTCACCAAGCAAGAAAAGAACACCCAAAACATTTGAATAGTAATTTTGGGGACGGAAGCCAAACGAACCTTACTCCCCAACAAACACCAGGGCTGGGCCGACCAATCCCATATTCAAAGAACAAAAAGAGATTCAGCGACACTGTGTTGGCCTTTAGAGGTCTTGAGAGAAAACGTTAAGAGGATAGCGTGAATCAGCAAGGGTGGTGATGAAAGCGACCACCACCGCCCAGACAACGGAACAGCAGAAAACGTTCAGAGGATTGTGTCGTGATATAATTTTTATCAGTTTTAATTATGATAACAAGTTAAATTGTAATTTCTGCCTAAAAAATTATGTTTAATAAGATCTGAGCATATGATATTGAGATTTCATGTCATTCTTATATGCTCGTATCTTTTATCGCTGAAAAATCTTTTAATTCTTTCGAGATTAATTTACAAATTAATATCAATAGAAAATGAATCGAAATATTAATAATTTTTCCTAAAGTATTTGCACTCTTAAAGAGGGCGCATATAGTCTTATCATATTATTTGATAAATAAGATTTCGAAAGATATTAAATATTGACGGGACTTGAAGATGTAACCTTAAATTTAAAGGTCAAATTTATGAACCCTTTGTATTAGCAATATACAATCATGACGATTGACGAGGATAAAAAATAAAAGAAAAAAGTAGTGAAAAGTTTAAAATTAAAATGAAATCTATCTATTGATGATACATGATGCGTGCTTATAATAATAATAATAAAAATTAGACATGTATAATTTAACGATTTTTTTAATAATAATTATTATATAAGTATAAAAATTATTATAAAAATATATTAGACATAAATTTTTAATAAAAATATTCTTTTAACATTTAAAACTAACTTAAGATATATATAAATTGAACAATTATTTTTATATTAAAAAATTTAAAAGAATAATATAAAAAATTAAAGTAAGTACTACGAAAATTATTTACATAATTGACTTTTAAGTAACAGCATAAATAGAAATCAGTCTACATCAATTGAGATATGGAAAGATTTTTTTTATTTTTTAGATATTACATATGCAATTGCAACTTGACTGACAAAAATTAAAAGAAAAATTATTTGTTTTGTATATAACCGTATTTAACTCGAACCTATTTTATTTATATTATATTACCATTATGAAATCTTTATAGAAAACACTTAATTTTTTTGTTAAAAAAACACTTAATTGATTATGCTTTTGAATAAAATAAAAGTAATTATTTGATATTTATAGTTTGATAAATATTTAATATGATACATATATGTTTGATTAAATGTCTAATATGATATATATGGACAAAATATGATATATATGGACAAAATATGATACATATATGGTTGATTGGTTTGATACTTAACGACATGTACTATAATTCTATAATAATTCACAAAATAATAGTTCATTCAGCTTCCCTCCACTTACTATCAGAGACTGTCCAAAGATTGTCTTCAACCCTACAAAAATAAAGTAAATGTTTAAAAAAAATCAGGATAAAGAATTGAAGACAAAGAAAGAAAAATAATCCAGAAGTAAAATAAAAATCTTAAACGTAACCTTCACAAAAACAATCAAACTCATGTTGATTGTGCTTTCTTGCTTTGATTCTTTTTTACAACAGAGATAAAGAAGAACAATCATTTACTAAAGTATATTGATCAACAATGAAAGGAGAAATGAAATTAGAAGATGAAACAGTAAGGAGGAAATAGATGAACATAGGGATAGAGGGGAATCAAATGGTCGGTCAAACTATCAATCAACGTGTCAGGTTAGTCGGTAACATTCCAATAATGACTATTAACGGCTAGTGATCGATTTGTTATAAAATCGATAACGTTAGCAATCAAGTAGTTAGTTTTAAGACATCAATAGAAAAAGGAAAAAATATTCAAACATTAGTGATTATTTATATAGTTTACCCAAACATTAGTGATTATTTATATAGTTTACCCTCGTAAATAATTTAGAGTTATTTCATTTCATGTGACCCTCCATTTCACCACAGTAAATAAATTAAGAATTTTAATTTATTGCGATCTTAAAATAAATAGGTTTTATCATGTTTATATTATAGATAAAAGGAAATTTTTATAAAATATAGATTTTTAAAAATATTTGACATTGATTATAAAATAATTATTTGACTTTATTAAATTAATATAAAATGATTGGTTAAGATTTTCCAAAATTTATATTTGTTTTAAAACATATATTATTTTATAATAATTTATAAATTTAATGAGTATATTACAATTTTCAAAGATTTAATAACAAAAAATTTATTTCAGAATTATTTGGTAATCATTTATATATTATTTTATTAATTAAAAGTTCAATGACATTACAAAGCCGTTAGTCAAACATGTAACGATTCAGGCACACAAACAATAATTTTTAAAAAATTATTTTTATCTCGCATTAATGTAAGCGTTTAAAAAATTAATATTAAAAAAAAATATTTTGTACTTATGCTCCCAATTACCACTCTTTAGGCTTATCTCCCACATTTCTATGCTGCTCAACACCTTCGCCTCCCTCTTATGGTCCGAGCCATCCACACTGATGATTTCATTACCATCATGTGTCCGTCGCCGTACACATATCTTCGATCGTTGAACGTTGTAGCCGATTGGTGCTTGC